GGCAGAGGCGCTTGGCTCGGCCCCGGTACCCTCGGGGCGGTAACTGCCCCCTGGGCCTCGCCACCCCCGCACCAGCGGTCCTGGCGACCTGGGTTCGGGCCTGGGGACAGGCCCTGGTCCCTGCCTGTGTCCTGGGGCTTTTCTGGGGACAGACCCAACGCCCTGCCAGGCCCCAGGACTCACCTTGCCCAGAATGGAGTCTCGCTCCTTGCCTGCCCAGGGGCCACGGACCTCTGTGCCACCATCCGGGGTCTCATTCTCCATCTGCTGTCACTGGGGCGTTTCACAGCAACTCGGGACACGGCACTAATCCTGCCTCAGGTTTGCTGGCTGCTCCTCGGAGATGCTGTTAAGTGGGGAAGGTTGCTGGCTTCTCAGTCCCCGTTAACGGTCGAGTTATTTATCCTAGACCTGCCCATAGCATCCTCCTTCCTGCTGGTGCCCACCCGTTTGGCTGTTCAGGCTCTTTAAAGGATCACTTAGTTAAAGCTGGCATGTCAATAACCTTTGATATAACGAGCAATATGGTTTTGTATTGTTAGACATGCTGGCACCGTTTCAACAAGTTCTTCCTCTTCCTTCGGAGCAAGTAACACTGCCTGCCAGGCTCTTGCTCATCCTTGTTCTAGAGCTTGTATAACGTCTTCCAAAGATGGCACCAGATATTTGGGCACTTTCCAATCCAAACGCCAAAAGCACTGACTTTGTAACCGTAGGCAGGAAGGCAAGGCGCTCCTGTTGCTCTCACACTTGTTCTTGCCCTGAAACCTCTCTGAACTCCGGTTGCTTCCCAAATGGGAAGGTCGAGTGGGAGCTTGTGCTGGAGCTTGGCACAGCTCCAATTATGGGAGGGAGGTTTTTTGGTGATGAAAGGTAGTGGGTGCCATTTGGTTTATCTGTAGACTGTTGTAGGTGGTTTGTTACTTCTCAGTTCATTTAGTCTGCATGCCTAAGGAAACAAGGCCATTGTGATCAAGTCTGTATGTACGTGCATCCTAACTACTCTTGAACCTGCTATCTGACTAAACCTGAGTTTGTCAGAGCAGTAAGGTTCTCAACGCTATGTTTGGGAAAAAAAAAATGACTGGGTATACGGAAGAGATGCTGTCAATAGTCTTGAGTGTGAAGAAGGAAAACATGAGGCGGGAAAATCATCCTTTAAACAACAGAATTCGCCTAACACATCTTTTAAACTACTATCTTAGGGAAGGGTTTATGGTTGGGGAAGTTTACACACTGGAGCTGATCTGTGGTAAAATACGAGGCAGCAGGTAGTCAAGGTGCACTTGGTCTGATGCTTCGTGTATTGATTCATTGAATGTTGCTTGTGCTCTTGAAATGTCCCAACTGGTTTTGGGGGATGAGTTGAAAGAGCTCAGCCAGAAAAGTCAGAGGCAAAAGAAAAATGTCTAGCTCTTTAGGAATTGCGAATTTCCATCTTAAAAGTCTGTCCCTATGCATCTGTGCACAGATTTGTCATCTAGAACGTTCTGTACCTTGAGGACTGTTGAATGCCAAGGGAGATCTTGACTAATTCCTGTTTCCTTTGTTCAGGGATATCATGTCCATTTACAAGGAACCACCCCCGGGAATGTTTGTTGTGCCTGATCCCCACGACATGACCAAGGTAAGAGAAGATTTGGAGCTGGTTCAACTTTCTGCTTCTCTGTGTGTTGCTCTTGGTGGCTGTTTTAAGGGTTTGCCCAAATGGGAGTATTCCATTAATGTTTTGAGAAAAGTCAGGATGAGTCTTGCAGGAGCATAATGAGGCTCCACGTTTCTTGGTGACACTGAGATGGGATGCATTTAAAATGTGAGGAGGCTTTCAAGAAAACTGGCTCTGTGGAGAGATACCATCACAGGGATCTGAGGAGCTTCCACAGATAAAGCCAGCTCTGCATGGTGGCCCTGTGAAGAACTAGTGGGCTGCTGCTCCAGCTCATTTCACCCTACTGATGGTTGAAAACAACCAACAGAACAGCTCAGAGAAGAGGGAGCCCCATGGAAAGCTCTTGGTCGTGGGGTGCTTCTCAGAGGAGCTGGAAATGAGGAATGTCCATTAGCCACAAGCAGTGCTGGAGGGTCTGTAATCCATCTGTGGAAACTGGGAGTGTTTAATTGTGAGCTGGTAGAGAGATATGTCCCTGCCCCCGGCCGTGGAGCTGCCGCTGGGTTCTCACAGGCACCAGGGTTGCAGGTCTGACCCAGGCAGCTGCTCCCACCATGCTGCCTCAGCAGAACCACTCTCTGGGGACACAGGCATGGCTACAGCCTCTCCTGCCCCAGTTATCCCCATCCTGGCTCTTGGTGTTTTCCAGGACTGGGAATTTCTGATTGTGTTGGAGAGAATGCAGTGAGTTGGGAGACTCAAACCATGTTCTTGACCCGGTGTGTTTTGTGGCTGGTGCTGCCCTTTCTCTGGTCTGGTTGTGCTGGTTTCTGAGAGTCGTGTATGTGTGTGTGTGAGGTTGCTTTGGTTTTCCTCTGCTGCACACTTCTCCCACCCCCCTGACAAACGTGGCATTCCCCAGATTTCCCCCAAATTCCCTCCATGTAAGCACCTGCCTGACTTAGGGCCCCTGGGTTTTTGGAGGTAGCACAAAGGGAGTGTCTCTGCACAGCCAACCCCCACCTGGGGCACTTTGCTGCAGCTCTGCCTTCCCTCAGCCTCTGGAGCTGAAAGTGCCAAAATGCCCTTCAACGAGAAATGTGGGTTTGTAGAACACCAGCCTGGAGGCTTTTAACTGAAATCCTGGGGAGGTAAGAGGATCATTAAAACTGCTTGGATCACTTGGGGAGTAAGCTTCCTTAATAGCCCAGAGGGAGCAGATTTCCTGGTATGCAATTGGGATCTATGAGGGTAATTACCATGGAGAGAATAGGGTCTTAATTTCGGATCCTGGCAGAGGAAATTGAGGGATTGGTTTTAATAAGACCGAATCAGCACGAGACCATAAAATTGAGGAATGCTCTCGTTTTGGCAGAAATTCTGAATTTTTTTTCTTTCTAAATTTAGATTTATTTTTTTTTTTTCATATTTGAAATTTTTTTTTTTTTTTTTTTTCTTAAAGCACAGCTTACCAGCTGAACTGTGATTCAGCCTGGTTTGGACTGTATAGAGATGTATGGGAGGCAGCTGTTGTGGACTCCGGCCAAACCTCGCATTGGAAACCTGCTTTGCACATTGAGTGTGGCGGAGGGGAGAGAAGTGTGCAGCAGTGGCTCTGCCTGACGAGGGGAGGAGGGAGGGTTGAGTATGGCCTGCACATGCTTGGGGAAGACGCTTGCCTCCGTGCTGCTGCCTGGGTGGAGGTTTCTTGCCTTCGGTTGGCTTTGTTGAGGATTTTGATGGTGCTGCACAATTTTGAAGTGGTGCGCAAGACGGGCTTTTGTTTTCCAGATTCATGCATTGATCACAGGCCCATTTGACACGCCTTATGAAGGGGGTTTCTTCTTGTTCCTGTTTCGCTGTCCTCCAGATTATCCCATCCACCCACCAAGGGTCAAACTGATGACAACGGGAAATAACACAGTGAGGTTTAACCCCAACTTCTACCGCAATGGGAAAGTCTGCCTGAGTATTCTAGGGTAAGAGGAGACTTTGGCTGTTTTATGGGAAATCAGGAGGTGGCTGCAGACTGTCTTCTGCCTCACGCATCCTTCTCAGCGCTTTCTGCCCTGATCTTGCCCCAGACATGTGCTTGGATGCACCTTTATGCTTCTGTGAAGTCATGTGCAGAATCAAGAGATGTAAAGCAGCACAAATCCCTCTACTGAAACAAGAGTCTAGCTTGTCTTTCAAAGCACCTGAGAAGGGAGCAGGGGAAGCGCAGAGCTCAGCGGATGCTGCTGCTTTTCTCCCGCTTCCCTTTGCAAAGCCTCCGACCAAGCGCTGCGTTTCTTCCGCTTTTGCGCTTTGCAGCCTGATCCTTAATGTTGTTTGAACGTAGGGTTTTGTGGTTTTAATTTCCTCTCTCTGTGTGGGTTTAAAAAATAAATAAATAAAATTAAAAGCCACTAAGAACTTCCTTGAGAGCCATTTGACTGCTCTGGGCTTCCACCTACACACTGTATGTGGGGCTGAGCGGTGGGTGTAATGATTTACAAGCACTGCTCCCATGCTGCCTGTTCAAACAGGCTCCACTGCTGCAAGTGCTTGTTGTTCCCCTGCTTGATTTTTAAACATGTGAGAGCCCCGATTGATTGAATAGCTCTTACAGCTCTGCCGGAGGAACCCTGGCCCTGGTGTGATATTCCCAACCCCAGCTGTGACAGTTTCAGTTGCCAGTAAAAAGAAAAGCTTTTGCTGAGACTCTGGACTGGTGCAGCTGGGATGTCAGTACCTGGTTCCTCCTGCTGCAGAGAGGTAGTGGCAGCAGCCAGGTGAGGAAGGATGCAGGGACAATCCCAGTAGGGATTTGATCAACCGGGGCAGGGACAATCCCTGTAGGGATTTGATCAACCAGCATGAGTCTGAGCATGAATGTGGTTACAAACCAGCTTTTGCTGGGCTGGTTTCAGCAGTGCGGTGCATGTGCCTCTTACACCAAAGTTAGTCCAAGGAGCTGATAGATACTGGCCCAGGGCTGGTAGAGAGATGGGTTGTGCTGGGAAACACTTCCCTCAGCCCAGGAGCCTTCCTGATGCAGTCAGCTGGATGCCGATGCCTGCAAAGGCCCGAGATGTGTAGGGCATGTCCGTGTCTCGGGGGTCTAAATGCCCAGCAGCTCCCATGCAAGCTGCCCTGTTGCTTGTTGTTGCAATTGTAGCCCTGGCATGGAAACTAAATTATTGAAGAGTGAACAAAGAGCCTCGGCCTTAGCAGAAACGGGAAGCGCAGAGGGAGCTGCGAATGAAAGGATTTAGGAAGAGCATATGTGGGTCAGCACATCCTTGTTCAGCTCACAGGGAGACGAAGTCTGTATCTGGAACTAGGATATTAAGGGCAAGCAGCAGAACAGCTTTTTCTGCTTATGCCATTCTGTGCAAAGGTTTTTTGCTACCCTGTGTGTATGAAACGGGCACCTTATTCCTATAGCAGAGCATCCGTTAGTGCTTTTGATGGCAGCCCTTGGGCTGAGCGTCTGCAGTACAGACTGTACAAGGGATGGTCTTGTTTGAGTCTTGAAAATCAGATTTCAGGTCTTAAGAGTTGTTGGTTTTGCCTTGTGGTAGTGCTGGTAGCTTGTGTTCTTCCAGGCTGCTGGGGGAGATGACAGCCACAGCGTTCAAATTCCCTGTTAAAATGCTCAGAAATATTACATTTCCTCCGCTCATCTGTGATGCCCTCTGTGTGTTAGCAGTGGAGGGAGGTTTACCAGACTCTCTTATCTTGCTCAAGCCAAAGTACTCATTTGGTTGAGCGAATAAACTGCTTTGACCCTGAAAACTTTCTCGGTGTCCAGTGCTTTCTATATCTGCAGCAGTTGTTTCTTTTCCCGTCGCACTTCTGTAAGGTGTAGGTGTGCTTTCCCAAGCTTTCTGATCTTTGCTAGTTGGAGGGATGGCGCTCACTGGGCCACTCCTGTGTTGTTAATTGATGCTTTTCTGTTTTAATGCCTCAGCACTTGGACCGGGCCTGCATGGAGCCCAGCACAGAGTATCTCTTCAGTCCTCATCTCCATCCAGTCTCTGATGACTGAGAACCCCTATCACAATGAACCCGGCTTTGAGCAGGTAAGAGTTTGAGGTGGATCATCTCTGGTTCTGCAGCGATTTGTCTCTTCCCTCCACCCTTGCTCCTGGTGGCAAATCACATTCTGGAAACGGGGACAAAAGTAGGTTATGTCGCCTGGCTCTTTTCCAGCTTGTTCTGCCTCTAGTTAGAGCTTGAGGGGGAGTTGCCAGCCAGCTCTGAACCAGAGGCTGCTTAGCTCATGTACGTGTAAGGTAACAGAAGAACATGAGGCATTTGAGAAGTTGCCGGGGAGATGGGATGGCTCTTCATTTCTCTGCTACATGACTCCTGAAATGGTTTCCTTGGGACCATGCAGGAACCAGACTACTTAGGTTTTCATGGTCTCCAGCATCTTGCAGAGAGGCAGGTTTCTCTGTGAACTTTTATCAGTCAACCTGTCTCCAGAGCTGTGTGAGTCCAAGGCTCTGGAGACGTGTGAGATCTTGCCAGTTTTTCATTTGCAGGATAAATTAGCTCAGCATACACAGAACAGACGAAGCTGTAGTGGGTTCATGCACCAGTGAAATTCATCGGGGCCCAGGAGGGAGAGACGAAGAGCCATTGCAGTCCTGTGGACTCAGTGGCCCAAATTCTGTTTCCAGGAGAGGCACCCCGGGGACAGCAAGAACTATAACGAGTGCATTCGGCATGAGACCATCCGAGTAGCAGTGTGTGACATGCTGGAAGGAAAGTGTCCCTGTCCTGAGCCGTTACGGTATGGAAAAGAGGCATGGAGGGGGTAGAAGGAAGTGGGTGTGGGAAAGCGGGATAAACTTCTCTGGTTGCTATTCCTGAGATCCTGAGAGTTGCTTCAGGGAAGAGCAAGTCTTAGAGTCTCCCTGGTCCAGCCAAGAGTCATTTTGATTCCCCTGAAGTGGATGGCTGCATCTGTGCGGCGCCCAGGAGCTGCTCAGTGACAAAGGCTGTGTTAATGTGCACAATGGCTGCATCCTCTGACTTGTGTTTGGGAATAAATGTGCCTTGTCTTATGGGGGAAAAAAAAATAAAATCTGGGAGGGAGGGGAGCACAGCTGTTGTGGAAGCATGTGCAGAATCTCTTCAGCTGCAGTGATGCTGCAGTTTGTTTCGTTCTGTGTCCTGCCTTGCTGGACCCTGTTAGTTGTCTGGGACACCCCATATGTGTGTCTCTGCCGACTACATGAACTGGGGTTCAGTGGGGATGGGGTGACCCTGGGTGATGTGACGGTTGTAACGCTGTCGTTTTGTGTTGATTGTTTGCTCTCTCATTGCATTCAGGGGAGTAATGGAGAAATCCTTCATGGAATACTACGACTTCTATGAAGGAGTGTGTAAAGAGAGACTTTATCTCCAAGGACAGACAATGCAGGTGAGTGGCAGACAGTTTTCTTGTGGATAACACGCTGCCTTAGTCAAGAGTGTGTGGTTAGTGACAATCAACAATGTGCAGTACCTGGAGCTACATGGGGTGGGTCTGGATCTTTTCTATGAAATGTATATTCTAACTTTGAATCAACCATGAAACTGAGACCTGAGACATTCCGGTGGATAAAACCCTACCGTCCCCAAGTTCAGAGTACACACGCGGTATTTTCAAGGCTGTTAGATTTCTGAGTGCTGGACCCAAGACACTCCCCAGGCAAGCAGGTACTTTGTTCAGTAGTCAACCCAGTATAGTTTGCTTTCATGTGGATTTGATGTTAAGCAGAGAGGGCACATGCAGGTTATCCAATACTGGTGGCAATTGAACTCCATTGCAGTGTTTTCCTCTTGGGTCACTGCTAGAGTTTCTCTTTTTCTGAGTTTCCTTTGCTTATATAGCAGATAAGAACTTTTCTCTGACACTTCTTGTTCTGTCAGGTGAGATCCAAAGTGGCCGACAGAGTCAAAAGTTACTTGGAGAGGAAGAGGTGGAGGAACACTGAAAATATGGCAGACACATCTAGACAGGTTGAATACAGGAGCCTGTTTCTGCAGGAAAGTAGACTTTAAAGGATAGATTGCCAAGCTATTTGCATATGAACAGATGTGTCTTCCTCCCTCATCAGCCACCTCTTGTCTGACTCATTGAGAAATTCCACTGCTAAGAAAAGATGGAGGTGGTTGATTTAATGATCTTGTGTCTCTGAGCCCTTTTTTCTTGTCAGTGCCGTCACTAGCAGTGTAATTCATAAATTGAAAGCATTTCCAAAGCAGGAGAGTTCATGTTTGGAGTGAGAAATTCCCATAAGGAACTTCTGTGCCTGACTTACAGCTGCAGAGAGTGCTGTGCTGAAGGCTGCTTAGCGAAGTTTGGTGACATTAGAGGATTATCAGGTGTTGCCCACTCTTGTTCCTTCTTCAAGGAGCCAGGGCTCAGTTGCTTTCTCCAGGCTTTGTGAAGATCAGTGTGTTGTGCTCCATTCCCAGAGGTAGTGACTGCCATGGCTGGTTTTCTATTCTCTTGTAAATAATAGTGCAGGAAGCATGAACACAATGTGCTGGAGAGATGGTACTGTTGTCTTCATTGCTTTGTATTTAAAATGAAGTCACTCCAGGCTCAGTAGCAGTCGAGCATTTGCCAGATGTGCTGTCTTGTTAACTCCAGAGCCACGTGTTGGCTTGTACCAAAGATTCCCATCAGAGAGGACAGTGTAAATTCTACCACCCCCTTACAGCCCTGACAATGTGTCTTCGATCTGGGATGGTGATAAAAGCAGCAAATGTTAAATAAGCTCCAAAGACTTTCTGACCTGGCCACGTCTCAGCTGGGGGCCTCGGTTAGAAAGGGTCTGTAGCACTAATAAAAGTGTGGCCAAGTCTTTGGTCTCTGGATTTTAGAGACTTATATTTGTAATGTTTTTTCTGCCTCCCTGGAGTGGTCCCGAGACCAAATCTCTGAAATAGTTTACTTCCTCAAAACTGATAGAAGAAATCCAACCCATGTCTGCTTGGCCCTTCATCTGTTTTTTTTTTTAAAGTTTGTTTGGGTTTGTAAAATTTCCCAAAAGAGACTCCAGACAGAAATTATCATCAGTCTTCAACCTCTGCCAGGACAGTGGGAAGTTAAGGGCCCTCTTCATCATAAAAAGGGATTTAATCCTTAAATCTTTGACCATTTGTTGCCCAGTTACTCTGCAGCTTGCTTCTTTCTGCCTCTTGCCAGAAGGATAACGGTCTGTATTAATGGGCTTATCTATGGTTTTCTTCCAGGATCCTTTCGGTGAAAAACGAGGCCACTTTGACTATCAGTCCCTATTAGTGCGTTTGCAAGGAATTCGGCAGAAGGTGCAGGAGAAACACCAGCAGGAGAATACAGAAATAGACTCTGAGAGCAGCTCCTCCGAGACAGAGACAGACACTCAAGGTTGCTCTAAAGCTTAGAGCTGCGTTAACAGTGGAGAGGCCAAGCCGTGGGGATGTTCTGTCTTCACACTCTAGAGTACCCCTGACAAACTCGACAACCAAACCAATGCCAGAGCGGAGAAAACTTCAGGATATCTTCTGTCTCCTTTTACTGCTCTGGTGGATAACGCTGAACGAGAAGACTTCATGCTAGACAAAGCCAAGCTTGTGACAGGCTACTCTTAAAAGGTACTTACTATGCTAGAAAGCTGGAGCATGTGGCATCAGGTTATTTTTTGGAAACACCTACACTGGTTGGGGTTTTTTTGTTGGTTTTTTTTTGGTTATTTTTCTCCATTTGATTAAAGAATGAGATCCAGACTGCGAATCCTCTTTACAGCTTTTCTGTTCCTAGACAGTGAGCCCTTCCCTGGGGCCATGCTGAATGTGGAGCTGTGGCTGTAGGATGAGGCCAGGGTATGACAGGGCCCACGTACCGTGTGCCCAGGCAAAACCTTTTTTGTGCGGGTTGGGAGAGAGGGAGCCTCTCTGCTCTGGGGAGCCCATCTACCTGATGTCTTTCTTCTAGACACTGTTCTAGACAGACCAAAGATAAAGAGCAGTGGTGGAATCTGGGCTCCTTTCTGAAAGCTTTATTTAAGCCCTGGGTGACTTCATCCACTGAGACTTCAGGCGTAAAGGGGCAGATAAAAAGTGGAAACTGCAAGAATCCATAAATCAAGTGCAGGTGTGTTCATCCTGGCGTTTTGGGGAAGGGAGGGTGAGAAAATAATTGGTCAGAGATGGGGGGAGCACTTAAAAATAAGTCTAGTTTGTGTATTATTTTTTTAAGGTGTTGATTTGAATTTAGCATTCTAGAAATACTTTATTCTGGCTGCTCTGAATGGAGCTGTTTTGTTTCCTTAACTGAAGTACTCTTTGCTTTTCACCTCTCTAGTCAGTGTAATATTTTATTTTCCTCCCTTCTTCCTCCTGCCACCTCGCTCCCCACTGCTACCTTGTTCCATTGATTGAAACGCTAGAAAAAGGGGCAATTCTAGCTAAGGAAGCCACTGCTTCTGGGTGGAGTTCTGCGGAGGTGTACGCCTTGTTACTGACAAAATTCCTTTGCCAAACTTGGCTGAGCACAAGCTAGCCGAGTGTTGTAAAGTTTAACACTTCAGTGCTTTGAACGTTATAAACAGCAGCTTTTTACTGTGAGCGAAGGCCGGCCTCTTGGAGAGGTGTCTGCTGGCTGCGAGTGCCATTATATTGAAGATGTGTTCAGTGTAACTTGGGTGGAGGTGAAATACCCAGTTTCTCCAGGTAAACGAACCTGGTGATGATTGATTGGAGCAGTATGTTTTGTTGATAAAGAGTTTGATCTACTTTTTTGGTGGGTTTTTTTTTTTTTTGGTTAATATTTTTACGGGAGCTTTGATAGAAAGCTTAAGCACAAAGTTGCACATTGTCCTGGGCCCTCTCCTAGTTTCCTTAAACACCTTCCCACCAGCTCGGCCCTGTTTCAGACTCCTGATGGTGGTGGGAGAACTTCCAACGCAGTCATCTTTGTTCTAAAAAAGCGCAGAAAGAGGGGCCAAAAGACCCCCGCTGTGCGCTGTACAGAAAGGCAATGCCCCATGCGTCACTGAATTCTTCTCAGTCTCTGATTTATATCAACTCTTGCAGAACTCAGAAGCCTGCACGAGGCTGCTTAAGCAGCTCTGAAAAGCTGAAAGGTGGAAACATTTCAGAATTGTTAAGGTGCCATTTAACAACTTGGGAACCTTTTTTTCCCTTGAGCAAGCAAACTTCCCTGGGTCTGTCATTGGCTTGATTTAGACTTAAACCCTGTCTTCCCTTGAGGGAAAGCTGAACTTACATAGGACTCACTCAACACATACACCAGACGAGAGTAAATTAAAGCGGTGTTCACCTTGAAATGAGGTCTTGGGGAGGCAGTGGGCTCTCCTGAGAAGTCATGAGCTGTGTGCTACTTCGCCGCCTCTTTAATCCCATTGTAAATGTCACGTTGTTTTTCACCATTCCGTAGCATTGTGGGTAGAGCTGTGACTCTGCTGCCTTCCCAAGGCAGAGCTGGTTCTGAAATCTGTTTGTGATGCATGTGGCGTTACCATCCACCGATACAACGAAACAAGAAAATGCCTTATTGTGGACACTATTCACATAACTAGCATGTGGCTGTAAAAGAGTATTAGTTTTATAGCTCTAATGTTGTCTGTCCTACCATTTCTGAATGTTTCCATTTCAAAGTGACAATCCTCAAATGACTGCTCTAGGCAGAGATGTTTTAGCAACAGATTTTTAGACCTAATTGAGTTGAAAATATATGCACAAGAGTCACTCTTAAGATACCTTGTTTATATACTATTGTACATAAGATTTTTTTTGTGCAATAAAGTTTGTTTTGGCAGAATCTAGACTGTGGTACTCCTTAGTTGAACAACGACTCATTCACAGAGCAGAGAGGACTAGCGAACAGTTTCTCAGTGTCACTGCTGGCTCCAAGATTCTTTAGACAGAGTCACATTTGCATCCTCTGAGATGGTTGCAATAGCAGCTTAGATAATTTTCCTCTTGCTGTGACAAGGTAATCAGTTGTCTGTAACATTAAGTGGCATTTCCACCCACAATACAGGAGAAAATTCAGAGGTAAGCAAGCATGAATTGGCCCTATTAAACTTTTCAAGCTAGACACTTTTTACAAAACTTTTATTTGAAGTCCACTGTCCCTGTGTTTCAGGTGATACGCAAATAACCTCACAAGAAGAATCATATACAGGCGCAGAAAGCGTAGCAGTCAAGGTATTGCCTCCTGGGCTTCCTCTGGAGTGATTTCCTGAGAGTACAGCTCTGTAAAGAGAGCAGGCAGCCAGTACTGAGGTTCTCCTGCTGCCTGCGTATCCAGCCAGGCCATTCCTTCCTTCAGCAAGTGTTCCTGTACAAACAGAGAGGAAACTGTGAGTGAAACTTAACTAAAGAGCTGAGAAGCCATTTGCAATTGAGGCCTGACCCCACATCTATTCTAGAGTAAGGGAGGGTGTAGAACTTGGACTACAATAATTTTTACTTAAGCAGGAGAAATATAGTTCAGACACCCAGCTATGCCTGCCCTGCGTGTTTTGTAAGACCTGAGCTAACAAGATCCTAGTTTTAACGGAGATTAGTGAAGCCACAGGAATATCTGCAGCTTCTGAGATTCTGCTTTCCTTAATCTATGTTTACACAGTGTGTACTCTGCCTCTGGTCTACCAGTGAGCTTAGGATCCCCCCTGCATGACGTGATAACGCAGCCCCAGCCAGGCGTCGGCTGCGGGAGCAGTCACTGCACTGTCACTGAACTCCACCCTGCACGTGAGGCCTTTGTACATACCAGCACTTGCTTTGCACGTTCTGTCTCCCACTTCAGGCTGGACCTGATCTCACTGACTGTCACGTAGCCCTTTTTCTGAAAAGAGAGGAAAAATACTGTGTGCTTATAAAGACTTAAGTCTGTAGTTTAGAAGAGTGTGGATAGTTTTGCCTACAGGCCTGGTCTAATCTCAGTTCCCTGTCACAGAAGCAATAAGGTTCTTTCAAACTGGTTGTATCGAGCCAGGAGATTTTAAAAATACCTCTGCCAGTTGCAGGACGACAGTGTGATCCATGTTCAGTTCAGCTGGTACCGACTGGACCAGATACGTTCCACCAACAGGGATAATCCCAAAGCCACTCCCCAGGACCTTCAGTTTCTTGATTGCACGAAGGAGATCATCCCTGAGAAGCAGAGGTCAATGCAAGGCTTTGAAGTGAGAGTCTCTCTCAAAACACACACTACATTCTGTGAATGAGGAAGACTTGACGTGCAGAAGCTACGAGCAGTAACAGCTCCTTGGAGCTTGCTGCAGTACCAGGTAATCAACAGCTGAAAAAAAAGTTTTGTAAAGCAATTTAGAATTAGTTGGCATATCTGTGCCCCCTTTCAGAAGCACAGACTTGCAGTAGAGTCACACCTGTAGCACCCGAGCTGCAGGTGCTAAATTCTAGATTCAGCCCCAATTCTAGCTAAATTCTAGATTCAGCCCCAATTAGTGATTGTGGTGAGTAGTGTCCTAAAGGCCACTTCTGTAGTGACACCCATCAGCCCCTTCCTTACAGCTCAGAAGACCAAAGCCGCTTCAGCAGACTGGGGCAGAAAGAGCTGGGTTTGCAGGGAACTGTCTCCAGCTCCAGGCAACAGTCCTCTGTGCCTCAGGGCTCCCAGAGAAAGCACACTGCTGCTTTCTGAAATGGTCAGGCCGTTAATTGTGGATCACGTGTTACGTGGCTCCATTGCTAGAAGTCAAATTTGAAGTTCAATTAACAGCAGTGCCTACAAGTGCTGCTGAGATCAGTCACCCTCTTTTCTTCCCCAAATGCTACTTGATTCCCCTTTCCTGTAACATGCAGACACTCACTGGCTGACATCCTGAGCAAACTTCCCCCTTCCCTTCAGCACTTGCTGATGAAGTTCTTCCAGTGTTATCAGACCTAGGAGTCAACAAAAGGAGACAGGAAAGCATTACAAAATTCATCCAGCAAGAGCAGTCAAGGATCCTTTGTGCGTTTGGCACTGGCTTACCCCTGCCTTCCCTTTTACAAGCGGCTGTTCATTGTTCCCAGTATCCAGCCCCGGGTGAGATCAGCATCGAGTCACTTCTGTTCCCAGAACTAACATGCAGCTCAGCTGTTGCCTTCTCCCACAAATGTATCAGACTCAAGTTTCAACTGGCTTTGCTGTAGCCCATTCCTGGTCTCAGATTGCCCTTTTGGAGCAAAGAACATCTACTATCTTTTCATGAGGCACTTATCACTGGTATTCCAACTCTTCGGGATATTGCTGTGATCCTTTAGAGACAATCTTACTGCCAGGCTCAATGCTGTAACTTAGCAGTTTTGTACTTCAAGATTGTAATGGATCCCTGCACCTTCCCCACGATACTGCGAGTTATGGTTTTGTTACCTACACAGGGCAGAGCTGGTTGATTTCTGAACAAATAAAGCTGGGTGATTACCAGTGGTGTAGCTGTAACATGTTACAGAAAGCAAACAAGACTTTTGGGGACAGTGAAGACAGAACTGCCATCAGTAGTTTGACATCTGCCATCTGTTAGACAGAACTGAGATCAGTAATTTGTGAAATCTAGTAAAGAGCACTGTACTGAGCCCTGCGACTCATTTTCCACAGGGAGATATCCTCCTGTTAGCTCTATCTCTTAGAAAGCAGACACAGTAGGATCCTCACCTCCATTCTGGTGTTTCAGAGCCAGGCAAACTTCAATGATCTGCACACCCAGTTCATAGTAAAAGTCTCCAACTCCCAGCATTTCTGACCAGAATCCCTTACCAGCTGTGAAGCAAGAAGGGAAAGCGATTGAACCACTGGCAAAAATATCCTTCCTTAACAGTTACTGGTGTGACAGACTGCTCACAAACCTCGCTGTGAGAACTCTCAGATCTGTCGGAGAAGAGTCTCCATTTTGGTTACTGTTGTCCCATACCCTTTTAAGTAACACCCAACAGTACATTACACTGATTCACAAACCCCAGGAATCAAAACACCATTAGCTCTCCTCAAGGAAACAGTTTACAGTCTGAGAACAGTGAGATGAGTCCTTAGTCATTAACCCCAGTGCCTGTCCCTCACATGCCAAAGGATCCACTCCGATTGTTGCACACATATCCTGGAACTGGACCCGGAACTCGGGGTTTTTACGGATCTCTTGCTTATGTTTGCTGGCAAACTCTTCTAAGTTGGTCTTAAACATGTCCAGCTGCTTAGACATCTGAAAGAGAATCGAAGTGTTTCTGTCTTAGCACTTATGTAACGCAGGTTTTGCATAAAACACAGCCCCCAACAGGCATTAAGCGAGCAGAGTCCTCAAGAAACACTCAAGTCTCTGACATGCTGCCTGCCCAGTGGTATCAAAGGAAGGAAACCAGAAAAACTGCTTGATTAAATGAGAATTCTCCACGCTTTTAACACTGAATTCAAACCAGTGTCAAGACCACAGTGGAGATAAGGCAAAAGGTTGTTCTGAACAAAGAGACAGGCTGCGAAGGGGGGGCAGCAGTTATTCTGTGGTGTGCATGGGGTAAAACCAGTTCTACAGAAATGTGTCGCTGAGGTCTCAGGAGGCAGAGCAAGACCTGTAGCACACACACATCACAGCTCTCTGATGGCAAGGCAACCTAATGGGTGCCATCCACACCTCTAGTGGACAGTGCTCCAGACACTGAAGCAGAGGAGGAAAGGAAGCCCAGGTTTGCTGGGCTCCCAACCACCGTTATTACCGCTGCCAGGACAGGCGTTAATCTCCCACCTGGGCCAGCTGATCCTCAGCCAAGACCGTCCCTCGCTCCTTGTACTTCGCCTGCAGGAGGAAAACACGATGATGGAGACAGTGCTGAAGGGCAGCTGGACCAGAAACCACAGCCGGATGAGGGAGATGCTCCTTAAGGAGGGATGAACCGGGAGGACGCAGAGCCCGGGGCTCTGGGCAAGCAGGGAGGCTGCCAGGAAGCTCATGGCACCCTGGGCTTGGCGCTGGGCTGGCCCCGGGCTGGGCTGGCCCCACACCGAGCCTGGCACCCCCGCCACAGGGTCGGAGGGGCCTGGACCCCCTCACACGGGCCCGATGGGGCCTGGCAGCTCCCCCCACCCGAGACTGGGGGGCCTGGCCCCCCCTCACACGGGGCCTGTCGGTCCCAGTCCCCTCCCTCGGGCCTGACACCCCTCGCACCGGCTCTGACACGCTCCCCCTGGC